ATTTGAGATTTTATATTTATGCTCACAGGTCTTTAAACTTTTAATTTTTTTTTTTTTACTTTTACTTTTATTTTTAAAATGTTTTTATTTTGTGTCAAATGATCTCGAGCCTCTTTTAAAATTAATAGATCTATAAGATAAATTTTACAATTTTATGTTTAAGGAGATAACGAGGTTTCAATTTTGTATGCAATTCCATGAATTTGAAAAAGTATCAAACGGGTCGTAGACCTATTAGATACTAAATTAAAAATTTTAAAACGTATTGAGGCCTATTATACATAATAGAATTATTTTTTATATGTATAGTGACTTGTTATTCTCAAATCTAAAAATGTAAAAAACTGAACTTATAATTGAATGAAGTTTTGTCCTTAGACTATTTAAGCATTTTGTTTAAGGGGTGCTTGTGCTTAATTTTTCATAAACCTTTTCCAAAAAGCAAAACTCCTTCAAAATTAGTAAAATATCAATTTATAGCCTAAATTGTATCAGGCTGAAAACTACGCACAAACTTTTATATATCAATTAAACTCTTCATAATTTTATAAAATATGTTGTTTTGATTTAAGTATTGATTTTATTTAAACATGTGAAGTTCTGTAGCTCAGTTGGTTAAACCGTTGGTCTTATGAGCTGAAGGTTGCGGGTTCGAACCCTGCTAGAACCACTCATGTTCTTAAGAAAGAAAAGGAAGAAAAAGGTTGAAGCAGCATATAATTGTTAAAAGCTGAAACAAGCTCCAATAATTGAGTGCCTTCAACACTAAACACTACCAAACTACGTGGGGATTTAGATTTCAAATGGTTTTTATCCCTAGTCCGTATAGGTCGTCATATCCCCACTTTCATTAGGCTTCTGCTCAAAACTTGTCCTCTCCTTGCAGTAAACAAAAAGGAGATGGAATCATATTGGATGATAAAGGCAGTCAGTGAAAATAAAGAGACCTCTCTACCCACTTGTGTGGCTCTGGTTTTCTTAAGTTTTCCATGAAATTCCCACTGTCGTTCTACAAAAGTTCTCTTCTTTGCTTCAGCTTTTATAAATAGAAATTTATTTTAACTCCGACATTGTTTCTGTGTTGCATGGTGAAGATTTTAGCATAACTAGCAGAGACCAACTGTTTGGATAACTACATCAGAGGACTCTATGATTTGATATTGATGAACCATCCAGTAACAACGTCAACCTCTTGATCGTATTTTGATACAGATGCAGGCATTGCAGTTATTTTACAGGACATCACGTGTTGATTACATGATAAAGGGACATCCTTTCTTCAGTTCCCAAAAGTTGTTATTACTTCTAACCAACTTCTTCTTGGGTTTCTTATACTTGTTTTGAAACAAACATTTCGTTACACAAAGGTAATCACTAATCAACGTGCATTCAATTTCCCAGAGATGTCTACACCAGTTGAAACAACTCAAGTTCATCGCTAGCAGATATTGTCTCTTTTAGCCTATATTGCATCCTATATTGCATCAAATTTACAGTTTTAAAATGTGTCTCTTTCCCTTCTCCAACAGATGAGAGATCTTATATACGCCCCTTATAAGTGATGACTCCATATGTAGGGTCTCAAATCCACCCCTCTCAAACGCTCTATGTCCTCGCTGGCATACCACCTCCGGTAAGCTCCAATACCATTTGTAACAACTGAAGCCCATTACTTATTAAAGTCGGATCTCACATCAGGTATCGCCATCAACCGAAATGACTTATTTCACTATTTAAAAAAGAAACCATGAAAATTGTAAGAGCCAGAAAATACGAATTACCATAGAATGTGTGCCGATTCTCAGATGTATGGTGGGTGCACATGAATTCGGGAAAGTCCTTGAGACACATCATAACAACAAATTTAGACTCATTTGAACAGGTAGTGATAAGCACGTAATATGTGGGTGGCTACTATGTTATTACAAAGTAGTAGATTATTATCTCATTGGACCACCAGAGGATGAAAGCTAGAAACTGAAGAGAAATTGAGAGCCAAGGGGAACTCAAAAGAGAGCTGAGAGTGAGGGAGATTGAGGAAGGGGGAGTACTCATGATCGGTGAGTGTTGAACTGTGGGGAACTCAAAAGAGAGCTGAGAGTGAGGGAGATTGAGGAAGGGGGAGTACTCATGATCGGTGAGTGTTGAACTGTGGGGAACTCAAAAGAGAGCTGAGAGTGAGGGAGATTGAGGAAGGGGGAGTACTCATGATCGGTGAGTGTTGAACTGTGGGGAACTCAAAAGAGAGCTGAGAGTGAGGGAGATTGAGGAAGGGGGAGTACTCATGATCGGTGAGTGTTGAACTGTGGGGAACTCAAAAGAGAGCTGAGAGTGAGGGAGATTGAGGAAGGGGGAGTACTCATGATCGGTGAGTGTTGAACTGTGGGGAACTCAAAAGAGAGCTGAGAGTGAGGGAGATTGAGGAAGGGGGAGTACTCATGATCGGTGAGTGTTGAACTGTGGGGAACTCAAAAGAGAGCTGAGAGTGAGGGAGATTGAGGAAGGGGGAGTACTCATGATCGGTGAGTGTTGAACTGTGGGGAACTCAAAAGAGAGCTGAGAGTGAGGGAGATTGAGGAAGGGGGAGTACTCATGATCGGTGAGTGTTGAACTGTGGGGAACTCAAAAGAGAGCTGAGAGTGAGGGAGATTGAGGAAGGGGGAGTACTCATGATCGGTGAGTGTTGAACTGTGGGGAACTCAAAAGAGAGCTGAGAGTGAGGGAGATTGAGGAAGGGGGAGTACTCATGATCGGTGAGTGTTGAACTGTGGGGAACTCAAAAGAGAGCTGAGAGTGAGGGAGATTGAGGAAGGGGGAGTACTCATGATCGGTGAGTGTTGAACTGTGGGGAACTCAAAAGAGAGCTGAGAGTGAGGGAGATTGAGGAAGGGGGAGTACTCATGATCGGTGAGTGTTGAACTGTGGGGAACTCAAAAGAGAGCTGAGAGTGAGGGAGATTGAGGAAGGGGGAGTACTCATGATCGGTGAGTGTTGAACTGTGGGGAACTCAAAAGAGAGCTGAGAGTGAGGGAGATTGAGGAAGGGGGAGTACTCATGATCGGTGAGTGTTGAACTGTGATAAAATAAGAAGGAAGAAGAGATAAACGAAGTTACTTCCCCTTTTGGTTCTTTCTCTGCATAAAAAATTGAAATGTATATATATATAAAGAGAGATTGGATTGGATTGATATAATATAGTATAAAATTATATATGTGAAAAAAAAAGAAAAAAAAAACAAGAGGAATCTAAATACTTGGAAGTTGAAATTTTTCTGCATTGATCTGAACTCGTGGAAATTTACACCAAAATTGTTGGGATCCTCGAAAAATTACAAAACTACTCTTACTAGCTACATGTTCACATCAGTTCCACACATGTACATCGGAGCCTTGGTAGATGTGTAATTCCTTGGGCCCTTCAGTAATTTCACACTCAGAAGTTCCGTAAGAAGGCCAACAATTGAAATCGAAGCCTTTCGCCATTTCCATCAACATCCCCTGCAACTCCTCCAAGCTATAGCTTTTTTCCTGTTCTCAACAATGGCGGATTCCGTTTAGGAAAACCTCGAAATTACGAGAACTAACAACGGCGCAGTATTGTATAAGGGCACTTTGTTATTTTACCTCTCTCTTCTTGTCTTCCGCTATTAGCGACCACAGTTCTTGCATGAAATCGCACATTCCCTGGAGAAGACAACAATGGAGGAATTGTCAGATAAGAGTGCCACTTTTTGAAGGCAGAAGAGAAGGCTGATAAGTTCTACTAAGGTTTTACTAACTACCACCTCGTCGTTTTCGTCATCATCAAAATCTTGAATTCCGGCGTCGTATCGCGTTCTCTTTCTCTCATCCGATAGAACTGATCCAACAAGATAAAACACAATCAGATCACGTTTTTCTGGATAGTTCTGAACAACACATACGGACGAATTAGTTTCGGAGGAACTAGGGCTTTTTAACACACCTGAATAGGCTTCTTGGATTTGTTGGAATTTCCGTTTGGCTGTACCTAACGGCAAAGGATTTTTCACACATCTATCGGGATGCCATTTCTGAAACCACAAGCATATACAACACTCGATCAATGAATTTTCAGCCACAAATAACGAAATTACAAGGAAGAATTCGAAAATTCGAGAAAGAGCCAACAAACAGAGCCAGAAAATCGATTTTCGTTTTCTTTCTTCCGTTGAATTGCATTTGTCAGCATAATTATCTTGAAGGATCCAAAATTCAGCAACAACGATTTTTTTTTTCAGATTCGAGACAGAGTAACTAACAATGCCAGAAAAATCCAAGGCTCACCAATCTTATTCCTCGGATTGAATTGCATTCTCCAGTACAATCACAACTCTAAAGAACCCACAAATTCAGATTGTTCCACTAATAATGTCGTTCATATAATAGACAAAATCGAGAGAGAGAAGGAAATACCATGGCGAGCTTGCGATAAGCTCTGCGAATTTCATCAACGGAACAACCAGAACTGACGCCGAGAATGCTGTAATACGAAGTCGAGCCACAATCAGCCTCCATCTCCTCTGATTGTTATGACAGAGAGTATCAAGAAACTCCGAGCGCTCAACAATGGAGAAATCTGTCGTCCGAAATTCACAGCGTAGAAGGCAGAATGGGAAGTGATTTTTATATGTGGGAGGGAGGCTTTGGGATGGGAAAGTCCAGAAGATTCTAAAGAGAAAAATATCTGTGAACCAAAAGGAGAGGAGGTGTTCCAGAAATTTCTAATGGAGAAGGAGAACAATGACGTGGCCGTTTGCTTTTCCCAGTTTTGGATATTTTGGGGTGACATGTCGCTCCATGGTAGATTATTAATTTTTTATTACCAAATAAAAAGCTTTGTGGGGACCACTCGACAATAAGAAATTATTCACCAAGTCCTGTGGTTGGTCTCATTTATATCGAGTATTATTGTGCAGCTGACGTGGAACAATTGATGCCAAAATTATTTTAATTGTGAAATAAAATTATTTTAATTTAGCCAAAAAAAGAAAAGAAAAAAAAACTGCTAGCTTGAAGCGACACAACGCAAACCCTCCCAATAAAATTAAATTCTCTCAATTACTCCCATGGCGCCGATTAAACCCTCTGCAATTTTCTTCTTCTTCTTCTTCTTCTTTCAATTGTTTCTCTCGCTAACCCTAGCTCGAAAGCCCCATCAAATCGATTTCCGATCCCCAAATCTCTATCCGGAGGGCCTCGTATGGGACTCATCAGCGCAACATTTCATCGTCGGCTCACTCCACCACCGTACTCTCGTCTCCGTCTCCGACGCTGGCGTCGCTGAAAACTTAATCCACGATCCCGACCTACCCGAAAATGTCTCGATCTTAGGCCTCGCGATCGATTCCATCAACAACCGCCTCCTCGCCGCAGTACACGCCGCCGCTCCCCTCCCGGAGTTCAACGCTCTCGCCGCCTACGACCTCCGATCCCGCCGCCGCATCTCCCTCACATCTCTCCCCTCCTCCAACTCCAATCGCCGCCCCGTCGCGAACGGCATTGCAGTTGACTTCAAGGGAAACGCTTTCGTCACAAACTCCGCCGAAAACTTCATCTGGAAGGTCGACAAACACGGATCAGCCTCGATCTTCTCAAAATCAGCGAGTTACAGTTCCCATCCAATAACCGCTAATGAAGTCTACTCCTCGTCGGGGTTAAACGGCGCCGTTTACGTCAGCAAAGGATACCTTCTGGTGGTGCAATCGAACACCGGAAAGATGTACAAAGTCGACGCTGACGACGGGACGGCGAGGCTGGTACTACTGAACGAAGATCTGAAGGGGGCGGACGGGATAGCGATGAGGAGAGACGGCGTGGTTTTGGTGGTGAGTTACAGAAAGCTGTGGTTCCTTAAGAGTCAGGACAGTTGGGGGGAGGGGGTGGTTTATGACGGAATTGACCTCGATGAAGAGAAGTTTGCTACTGCGGTGGCTGTGGGAGGTGAGGGGAGAGTGTATGTGTTGAATGGGTATGTGAAGGAGGGGCTAAATGGTAATTTGGGAAGGGAGAGATTTGGGATTGAGGAAATGAGGTCTACAAAAGAGAGTGAAGAAGAGAGGGTTTGGATATATGTGTTGGTTGGGTTCGGTTTGGTTTATTTCTTGTTTTGGAGATTTCAGATGAAACAGCTCATTGGGAATATGGATAAGAAGACTTCTTGACCATTCCCTTTCTTCTTAGCTTTTCATTGTTCTCTAATCATCAATAACACTCTTCATTTTTGGAAGCTCCAGGTTGAGTAGGTCCTGGATTCTCGAATTCAGAATATGCCCTCCGAATTCATTCTCGACGGATCCGCCATGGTAATCGAATAGATACTTTAACATAACATACATCTATGAAGTCTTTCAAAACAGATAAAGAAATTTAGTCACGATTTAGTGTTTTTGTTTATTCCTGCCCAACCTTAGCATACATGACTTCTAAATTACAATGCAGCATAACAGCAATGGTGATAAATAGTTATGGCAATTACAGAACCTGGACAATGCATTCAGATCATTCCTACTACCTGTGAAGTGAGTACAACACCGACCCATCCCCAAGCCAGCAACACCTTTAATGTCCCTTCTCCACATCAAATTCATGCTTCTCCCGGCCCCAACTTTCTGCTTCCCATCAACTCAGGATTTCTGCACATTGAGTTCTTTCTCTTTTGCTACATCATTTTTTCCTCTTGTTTTCAGTTTCTGAAACAGCTTTTGAGAGACACTCTTGGTTGACGAAGAATTATCACTTGCTTCAACATGCACAGCTGAACGGCAGCTCATGTTCTTTGAAGTGTTTGGTGCTTCACTTGTGGAGACTTGATGTCTCTTCCTAACTTTGGACGCGAGGATGACGCCCCGGCAGTGGACTTCGTTAGAGTGTTTCTTACTTTGGTGCCACTTAACACAGCCTGAGATGTACCATGAACCAAAACGAAGTAAATTCTATTGCTCAAGATATTTGAGAGACTAATTTCCTTTTCAGTTATTTTCCTCAATTTTTAAAGATAGACAGGTGTTCCTTACAGGCTTCTAAAGCAACGTATAGCATGAACTTCAAGAAATTTTTAGCAAATTCGACTCTACTCCTAACTACACTGAGAAGAATAGATGGTACGATCTCTGTGAAGGCTGTTTCCATATACTGCATGCACCGTGCCAGAAACAAATTATACGGTTTCTCAACTTAACGCAACGAAGTTGACTGTATCTGCCAATGAAACTTGGAAAGACTTGTACAACTACTGAAGAAAGCTGCAAATTTTAGTTAATCTATAATGACAGGACACGGATAGCTATTCAATTTTTCCTTTATAAAATTCAGAAATGACGAAGAGAATATTGGCTCTATAAGTTGCACTGAATTCATAGGTCACTTCAAGTGCTCACAATTATATTTATTTTGGAGTTTATTGTTAGTTAAAGATTGGAGCTAAAAAATGTATACAGCAGAAAAAGAAATTAAACTGCTCAATCAGGGAAAACAGTTCTCAGTTACCTTCTTCCCATCTGACTCTGGTCGAACTGCACCATAAGAAGAGGGCACTGGTTTTGATCTGATGTCAAGGTTCTTCTGTAATTTATTAATTTCAGAATTTGCCTTGCCCCGAGACAACAGCGCCTTGTCAGTGCTTCTAAAATTGGAAGCTGAACCCCTTTTCCCTGTATCTTGCATGGCTGAGTTGACAGTCCGATTTTGCCTACGCCCATATAAAGTTAAAAATACGTGAGAATTTTGACGTCAATATAATAGCTAAAAGGAAGAGAATACCTGGTGGTTGTCTTTAGGTATGATCTAGATTCAAGCTTTGATGGAGAAGAATATGATACTCCAGAAGTTTGTATCTTCTCACCACTACATCAAAAGGATATTCTTCTCATGGGCTCAACTCTCATCAAACAAGCTAACTTTTTTTTATTAAAAAAATAGAAAAAAAAAAACAAGAACTCGAATATATACCTTCTACTCTCGAGAACGAGCCTTCCCTTGGGAACTTTAGAATCCTAGAAAATTTTAAATTAAGAACAATCAGGTTGGCTCTAGTAAATTGAGACTTCGGTAAATTCAAGAAATATTTGTTTCAGAAGTTAGAGTTACATTATGAAAAGCCATAGATTACCTCAACTTTGGGGGTTCTACGGACAGCATGTGTACGTAGAGTGGTAGTTTTTGATGAATGCGCATTTGTGCAAGTTGTATGTGATGTCTCTCCTTTGCTTTTATTGGACACTTTTTCAGGTGTATTGATTGCACCACCAGAAATATTTCTCCGACTCTGATGAATGTTGGCCAGAGATTTGGAAGCTTTTGTTTCCCTTTGAGATGTCATCTAATAGTTTTGGGGTGGGGAGCATAGGGGAAATTAATATTAAGCCAGAATTCAGATAGCAGATTAACTGCTGCTCCCCTAACTAGAAAAATGGATTTAAAAGATACCACGTGACTGAACCAGAATGTTTTTTTGACTTGAAAAAACAACAATGAAGATTAGAGAGAAGAACTGCACCTTCGGAGTGAGAGTTTGCCGACTTCCTGAGCTGCATTTGCCAGTTTTCTTCACTAGTTTGGGGACTGACTCCATGGCTTCAGATGGCGTATTCTCACTCATTCCAATATTGTTGACATCTTGCTTTATTTCAACCTCTGGATCATCACCTACAAAAGTTGAGAATTTGTTCCCCCCACTGTCATCTTGTTCATTTATTTCAGCATTGGCACCATTAAGATCACCAGACACTGAACCACCAACACTGCTGAAAGAATTTTGAAATTTAGGATTAGGAGATGAAATTCCAGGTTTTGGCATTTCTTCAATTTCTGTGACATGGTACCCATGGTTTTGTGAACTGACAGATCCATCGTCGAAAGGGTCATCATGATTTTCCTTGTTTATAATCTCATTATCCTCTCCTTGATTCACTAGCTCTAATACATCCTTGTCAAAAGTATGGGACTCTGCTGAATTCTGACCAAGCAAGCCTCCCTTCTTCTTGAAATGAGCCTCAAAGTAAGCCTTTTTCTCATTGACTGAACCCGGTTTGGAGAATTTCTCTACCTCTTCTAGGTAACGATTATGGGAGAACGATGACCTCCTTTCCCAAGATAATGATTCATTTTCAAACCTTCCAAATGATATGGAGTCTGAGATTGCAGAATCTACCTGATCAATTGACATGCAACAGGGCATTAGACAAGAATCACGCAGGCCAGAAAAAACTGGAAAAACTTTAGTATCCAACTCCCGCTGGCATACCCCAAAAATTATACAGATCATAGGCAGCTTAGAGGTCAGCTCAAAGCACAAAACGAAGTTTTTTGAACTTCACTGTCAATGCTTAATAAGCTCATAACTACAACATCAACACCTGCCTAGGAAACCTATGTTCATCACAGTTCTCTAGATAAATTCTTCGTGGCCGTTTTTTCGAGGAGAGAAAGAATAGAACGGGAGAAATCTAACGATGGCGAAAACAACAGTGCAGTCTATTTCCATAGAAGGCGTTAGTGCGCATAATAAAATTTGGGATTTAGGTTGAGAAACGAAACGCTTATTCGACATAAAGTAAGGCAATGAGAAAGGATAAAAAGCGAAAGCAGTACCTGAAAATCGAAGGTAAACGGCTGTTCGATATCTCCAGCCATGATGAGCTCAATCAATCATCAGAAACCACTAAATAAAAATAACAATAATAATAATAAAGAAATCACACGACACAAGGAGAAAGAAACAACAGAAAGCAGTACAGAAATTGGTAGATACTTGGATCACGAACAAAAATACCTTAGTAAGCCACATTCAGATTCACAGCCGTCAAACCAGAAGACGCAGAGGCTCCATAGATTGTTGAATACGGGTGTGGATTGATGAAACAGTAAGAAGGAATGAAATGAAAGTTGAGAGAGATCACTTGCAAGTAACTCTATGGAATCTGGAAGCAAGCGTGTTAAGCGCGAAAAGCACAAATCTCTGTTGCAGGGGCAGAGTTCGCTGTGGGTGGGTGTGCGTGTTCTCAAATGCCGCTTTTGATCTTTGTTCTTCAAGCCTACAAACGGAACAATATTTGAGGTTCGTTATTATTTTCATTATTTTCTTCGGATCTGAGGTTCGTTAAATATTTTTTCTTTTTCTTCCCGGAAAAAAAAGGTAAGAAGCTTAAGAATAGAAAATTGCTTTAAATTTTAATCATGTTAATTAATTAATTAATTAAGGGTTGGGCCTTAAGCGAAGAATAACATGTGCAGCTGCTTTTTGGGGTTTTATTATTATTATTATTTTACTTTCTCGTCTTGACTTGTGCTAAAACTGGATCGGCCAAAGTCCTAATTTTCCGACATTTCTACACCAACGACGTCGTTTTGATGCCCCTTGAAGCAGTGTGTTCATTTCTTTTATTATTATTCTCCAACATAAATTTTTAGTCCATACTTGTTTAGTTTTTACCATTTTAAAAGTTAGAATATCATCTCTAGAATTAGATAAAACATAAAAAAAAAATCGATTTATTTATTACTAATTTGAGATATAAATCAATATGCTTTTAGTTTAAGATTAATTCAATAATTTGAAATTATTAGTCATCCATATAACTTATTATGGTGGATGAAATGGGCCATTGGAGACTTTGGTAAAAAGTCTTATTATTATTATTATTATTACTACTACTATTATTATTATTGGGGTGTTGTAAAAGCTTTGTTGTTATGTTATGATTCGAAAAATTGTAGAGAAATGAAGGAACCATAAAGATCGAAAAGTGAACAATTTAAGGTGTATCTTATTGTACCATCACTCGAACGCGATCGTCGAAACAGAAATTTGTTGAACAATAAACCAATAAAATAAGAACAATTTAGGAAACTAATAAATGAAAGGATTAAAGAAATAAAATTATGAGAAAGCACAAATAATACTCCATTTATGGTCAAGTAAGTCAGCTCCCTATTTGTATTTCAATTAATGATATGATGTATAATAGAAAGAAACAAAAAATAATTAATAATTGCGTGGAAGAAAAATGAAACAAATCCAAGTGACAGCCCAAGTACAGCAATATTAAAGTAACACAAAATGCCAAAAATCCTTCTTTTCTTTTTCTTTCTTTTCTTTTTTTCTTTTTTTCTCTTTCGAATGCCCTTCTAATTGTGAACCCACCCATGTGACTTTACATGCCTTGGCCAACATATAATGTCCCCCGACATCTATATGTTTACATTATTTGTCGCGAAATTACCAATTTGGACTTCACTTTGTTCCCTTAATATTTCTTTTTTCCCTTCCCTCGAAGAATTCAGGAAAAATGAATTTGAACCTATGTGAAGTAAAATGAAGCCCAAGTGCTACAGTCAACGGTTTCTTCAATTAGGTCAGCCCATGGACCAACCCATTTAAATTATACTTGGATCGGCCCATTGACCGGACCGCCCAAAAATTAAATGTTTTTAAAAAGATAAAAGTATAGTTTATTTAAGAAATAATAATTATTCACAATATATATATATATATTTGCTCAACAACTATCAGACGGAAATTGGACAATTAAACCGAATAGTTATAAATTACTAAAAAGTTTCCAATTATGAAATAAAATAATATAACGTCTAAATGAGGATATATAGCGCGTAGTTGACTTATGACCAATTCAAGGGAAACGACACGGCAACCCACGACTAAAATTCATTTCTTTTCCTTGACCGACGTGTCGACCAAATTAAAATCTATCGGATTTTTTACTCAATATTATTAATTCTCTTGGAAACTAAACCAATTTGCTCCTCTGTGTATTTATTTTAACAATATTTTAAATTAAGATAATTACGAATCCTGCGGTCAAAATTGTCAAAATAAACCAAACTTCATCTTGAATATGTCTAGATTCGTACTTTTTATTATTTTTATTTTCCTTTTCTTTTTCTGAAAAAAAAAAAAAAATCAAGGAGAGGAAGAGGAAAAGGTCAAGCTTCTTCTATATGAAGATTATTTACAATTTTATAAATATTACAAATCTCTTCCTCTGTTCCGTTGTATATATTTCGGTTCTCTTCTCAAAATCTTCGACGACAAGGGGAAGTGCTGAAGGACATGCGAAGATTTTGAAATGAGTAATCGGACAGGACTTCTTCGAATTCGCCTCTTGCGAGGCATCAATCTCGCCATTCGTGATGCTCCCACCCGCAGCAGCGATCCCTACGTCGTCATCTCCACCGCTAACCAGGTTCCTTCTTCCGCTTCCGATTCATATTCACCGATCTCTCTTCCACGCATCCCGTTATAGGATATTTGTTTGTTCAAGTGTTAACGGTCCGGATTTGGATTTGGATTTGGATTCTTATTTTTTGGAACTTTCTGAGGAATATTTGTCAAAATTTTCCGGTTTTTTCTTATTTTCCCGTTCGAATTTCCTTTCAAAACTTGCGAGCTGTTCGAATTCGGATTGCGACTTTCAGATTTTAAGCTTCTGTTCGGATTTTCTGTTTCGACTTCTGATTGTAATTTCTTTCTTTTGACTTTCCTTCGAAATCTTCGTCAAATTTGTCCATTTTTAGGTTTTCGCTGTTTAGATTTTCCCTTTCTTAACTGTGCTAGTGGCTTGAATTCTGATTGCGAATATTTGTCGATTTTTTCAGTATTTAGGTTTTTTGTTCGGATTTTCCCTCTCAAATCTATCCAAACAGATCAAATTCTGATGGCGCTTTCTTCCTTGCAAAATATTCGTCGAACTTTTCCGCGTTAAAATTCTTTTTCTCGGTTTTTTCCTTTCGAAACTATGCAACCGATTCTGATTGCAGATTGCAATTTCTCCGTAACTTCCATCGGAAGATCTCGGAATATTCATGAAGTTTATTCGTTTTTTCTTTTTCATTGATCTTATGGCATGACTCTTTTGATACTAATTTTTTGTACAGAAATTCAAATCTCGAGTGGTGAAAAAAAACTGCAATCCACAATGGAACGAGGAATTCACACTCTCAATTACGGACATCAACACACCAATCAAATTAGTAAGTCAAATCACACGCTTTTAAACCGAGAAATTCAGACAATCTTCCAAACTTGTGATCAAACATTAAACAAATCACTGGCATTTGTTTCCATCACTGGATTCTCAGGCAGTGTTCGACAAAGATCGGTTCACGAAAGACGACGGAATGGGGGATGCAGAGATCGACATAAAACCGTACATAGAGTGTTTGAATATGGGATTAGAGAGTCTGCCGAAGGGTTGTGTGGTGAAAAGGGTCCAACCAAGCAGATCAAACAACCTTGCAGATGAGAGCCCTTGCGTTTGGAACGATGGTAAGATCATTCAAGACATGACTCTCAGATTACAGAATGTTGAATGTGGTGAAATCGCGATTCAGATTCAGTTGTTCAATGCTTCTGGGATTAAAGGCATGAGAACCTACTCTTTATCCTGAAAAACATCGCCTCCTCCTTCGATTTCATGTTTCCGTGTTCGTCATTGCGATGCTCTGTTCCTGCTCCGCTTTCTCATTTCACACCAATTCCAGAAATCAGATACGTTTGATTTAGTCGTGAATGTAAATTTGCATTGTGTGTGTTTCTTGTGAAATGATTTTGGTTGGCCTACAAGAAGTTTGTACCCCCCCTAGATTATTGGTTCATTTGAATGTTATTTTTTCCATTGTTATATTGCGTACGAATTTGAGGCGTGGACAAATATTAATTCTCTGTAGTAGCTACTGATTGTGTGAATTGATTCATTGTCTTGGAGAAATCATCATATTGAACTCGTTTCTTTACATATATATTACACACACACATATAGAGAGAGAGAGAGAGAGTTGTGGGTTATTAAATGAGCCACCATCGAGTAATATCGAAGGGACCTTACAAAGATTGTAAATTTTGAAATTTGGAGGGTTGGAGAAAGTTCTCCAACAACTTTGGACAACTAAAATAATCACAAGTCCTTTTCCATGAAGTTTCATGGGGTCGGAACTTAAAGCACGTAAATGAGTTAATGGTTTTGTATGATTGCAGTGTACAACGAAAAAGTAAGATTGTGAATTTAGATGCTTTATAATGGAATTTAGCACTGTTTGGTTTGTTTGTTTGTTTAAATGCATGCGTTCCAAAGATGTTTGACAAACTTTTTGGGTTTTAAACATTTTATTTTACTTGTTTTTAGAGTAACTTTTATGTTTTTGAATTATAAAATCATTTATTGTTATGGTTGATTCTTGCACGAAAAGTCTGGATGGTTACGTTAAAAATGAAGGAGGAGTTCTGATTGGTTATTTAACGCGAATCATTTCTTCCCTGATCTTTACAGATATCCCTTTGGCTCTTGTTAGATTTTTGTTCATATATATATCCTCCAAGCAAAGAGCTTTCCAACACGAATACACCCAAACAAAAAGAAAATATAAATATCAGTTCCTCAAATAATCAATATCAGTTCCTCAAATAATCCACACGATCATATAATAGATCAGTTCCGAACAACACATAAAACAAACAAGAAAAAAATCCATCACACAAAGTTTGGAATTTTGTTCATAGATATTTCTTCTCCAACAAAATTCAAATGTAGGGTTCTAATTCAATCTCCCTCTCCTTATCTTCCCCGGCCATCTCCTAATTCAATTCATTTCCAGCAAACACAAAATCTTTTTTTTTTTTTTTTTTTAAAAAAGAAATTATTTCTTTCAATCTCTCCAAGCTCTGCAACAATGGCGTCCGCCACTTTGAGCACTTCAACAACAACACGTCTTAAACCCATCATGAGGGCAGAATCATTACCAACTCTGATTCCAAACAGACCCTTTAATCCGAATGTGATTAGTTTCGCATTTTTTAAACGCGCTGCCGGGCGAGGAGTGGCGGGAGCGACAGTGAGGGCGACGTGGAGGACAGCAGAGCAAGGCGGTGCAGTAGCAGAGGACGAGGAGGAGATGGGCAAGATCCGGCGGCTGCAAAATGGGTCGGACGTGAGAGGGGTGGCGCTGGAGGGAGAGAAGGGAAGGACGGTGGATCTAACAGCAGCGACAGTGGAGGCCATTGCCGAGAGCTTTGGGGATTGGATCATTCAGGGGTTAGAGAAGGAAACAGAGCCGCGAGGGGAGCAGCGTGTGAGTGTTTCGGTGGGCAGAGACCCGAGGATTTCCGGCAGTGCTTTGAGTGTCGCAGTGTTCGCGGGAGTTAGTCGTGCGGGGTGTTTGGTGTTCGACATGGGTCTTGCCACCACGCCTGCGTGCTTCATGAGCACCGTGTTGCCTCCTTTTTCTTATGATGCTTCCATTATGGTTCGTATTTGGCCCAATTCTTTCTTTTTTGAGCTTCAACACTTAATTTGTTCGTTAATACTTTTTTATATTTTTAATGTGTTGCAGTTGACAGCATCTCACTTACCATATACACGAAATGGGATGAAGTTTTTCACGAAGAAAGGAGGGTTAAGCTCGCCGGAGGTGGAGGAGATATGTGAGAGAGCCGCCCTGAAGTACGCCAATAGAGTGGTCAAAGTCTCCACCCTTCTCCGAACGCCGCCGTCCAGGGTGGATTTCATGGCGGCTTATTCCCGACATCTCAAAGATATCATTAAGCAACGAATCAACCATCCAACTCATTACGATACTCCTCTTAAAGGATATCAGGTCCTTCCTCTTTCGCTATTTCTATTAGTGGTGGACTTGAACCGTTGCTAAAGATAACAATTCTTCTGATTCTAGATAATAGTGAATGCTGGCAATGGATCGGGGGGCTTCTTTACGTGGGATGTCTTGGACAAGCTTGGCGCGGACACCTTTGGCTCTCTCCATCTCAACCCGGATGGCATGTTCCCCAACCATATCCCCAATCCAGAGGACAAAGTTGCCATGTCACTCACTCGAGCCGCTGTACTCAAACACGGAGCCGACCTTGGAGTCGTCTTTGACACCGACGTTGATCGTAGTGGCGTTGTCGACCGTGACGGTAACCCGATCAACGGCGACAAACTCATTGCTCTAATGTCGGCCATTGTTCTCCGAGAGCACCCTGGGAGTTGTATTGTTACAGACGCTCGCACAAGCGTCGCACTCACCAAGTTCATCACGGACCGAGGTGGGCAGCATTGCTTGTACCGCGTCGGGTATCGTAATGTGATTGACAAAGGAATTCAGCTGAATGAGGATGGGGTGGAGACGCATTTGATGATGGAGACGTCGGGGCATGGGGCGTTTAAGGAGAATTATTTTTTGGATGATGGGGCTTATATGGTGGTGAAGATCATCATTGAAATGGTGAGAATGAAGCTGGAGGGATCGGATGAAGGGATCGGGAGCCTTGTAAAAGATCTTGAAGAGCCATTAGAGTCCGTGGAATTGAGATTGAATGTAATCTCAGAGCCAAGATTTGCCAAAGCGAAGGCTGTGGAGACCATCGAGACATTCAGAAACTTTGTCCAGGTAAACAACATCAACAGATTTTAAAGATTAATTGGAAGATTTAAAGATTTGAAAACTAATGTTAACAGGAAGGGAAGCTGGAGGGATGGGAACTGGACTCATGCGGTGATTGTTGGGTCAGTGAGGGCTGCTTGGTGGACTTGAATGATCATCCCAAGCCCATTGATGCGCAGATGTACAGGTCTGCTTAAAAGTTGAAGAATTTATGATCCAAATCTTGGAGAGTTCAATCTTGTAAGTACCAACGTGACTGATTGATTGATTGATTGATGCAGGGTTAAAGTGTTTGACAAGGAAAGAAGGGAGGTTGGGTGGGTGCATTTAAGGCAGAGTATCCACAATCCAAACCTTGCTTTGAACATGCAATCATCTGTGCCTGGAGGCTGCCTTCAAATCACTACAGACTTCAGAGATAAGTATGTATAAATGCTCCTACTAACCTCTGCTTTATGCTCAATTTGATGTGTATTTCATTGTGTTTTGGCAGATTTTTGGTGGCCAGCGGCTGTGATCGTTTCCTCGACGTTGGAGAAGTGGAGAAGTTCGCAAACACTGGAATTTGAGGATTATCACCTTATGACGTGTAAACATTATAGTGTTCATAATTTTTTATTACAAATGAAATTTAAAGATAGTTAGGATCTACATTTTTTACGAGCTCATTGTATAGGATACCTCTACTTAAATATTTGAATAAAATCATTTGTAATAATTACAAAGTATGCGAAAGGTTGAGGACGGGAGACCACGAAGATCTCGTATAGAGAGAAGGTGGTAGGTCTCTCGAAGAGAGTACTACTATGGTAGACTGGTGTGAGGTGGAGTACTCATTTATCGAAGAACTTGATTTCAACAAAGAACTGCACCACTATTAAAACATACGGAGAAGACGAGACACAAGAAGGATGAGGCTACCACCTTGGAGGGAGGCCTTCTTGTTCTTCACCTACTCTTTATCGAGTTCCAACTAGTGTTACTGAAATAAGACACTTAATTTTATCGGTTAGAAAAATTACTAACCTGAATGAATGAACAAAATATTTTACATTTTAAATAAATTAAAATGATTATGATTTAAATTACATACTTACATCCACGATAGTGTTATTATGTTGCAATTTTAAAATATTTTATCATTTTTTTTTATAAATAATGGACCCAACAGGTGGAAACTCTACCCTACACGTGCCCATCACATTATTAAATATATATTCCAAATTCAATTTACAATTCATGAATATATCATAAAAAATTAATATTGATTAATATTTTTATAAATAAAAAATTATTTTAGATATTAATTAAGAAAAAATTATTTGGTAACTAGTTAATAAAAAATATTTTTAATTGATATTTATAATAAAACAGTATAGATATTTGGTTGACTCTAAAATGGATGTATATATAATATATATAGAAATTTTGTTGGATTTTTTAATCTTTGATTTTGATATTAATATATATGATATTTTGTATTTAATAATCATTTAAAAATAATCTAAATTTTTTTTTATTTAGTAACTTTTTTGAATTTTGATAGAAGTCAAATAAAATTTAAAAAAACAGAAAATTAGAAATGAAATATGATCATTATAGAGGGGAAAAAAATCGGCTGTGGCACACCTGTAAATAGGGTGATATATAGGGGCCTTTGTTGGAAGTCAACGCTCTATAAATTTGTTTTCTCCGACTTTGAATCCCATCGTCGATTCGATCTCACGGATCTTCTTCGATTTCTCTATTTCACATCATTTTTCTTCACTCAATTCTCCTTCTTCTTCTTCTCAATCTCAATTCCTTTCTTTTCAATTTGGAACCAGTAGAATCTTTTCTGATTCTCAGTTGAAATCATTATTATCATCCACCTACCCGTCAGCCATGGAGGACAACCACGTTGCTTTCGAATCCATCGCTGCTAATGAAGATCACGACGCCCCCTTCTCCCACGCCCAGGTTGACCATGGTTGGCAGAAGGTTACCTACGCCAAGCGCCAGAGGAAGACGTCCAAGCCCTCTGCCGATGCAGTTTCTGGAAAGATCGTGGCTAATGGTACCGTTCCCGCTGGGGACAACGTTTTCCGATCGCTGGAGCAGAAATCGCAGGAGCGTCGCCGTAGAATTGTCGAGGCGCAGAAGGCCTCGGCTATTGACGCCGATGAGGATGCTCCGGTTAGATCTAAGATCAGGTCTGACGATGAGGATGGCGATGATAGTGACAGAGAGGGTGTGGAGAATGAAAAGCCTAACGAGGAGGCCAAAAAGTTGAAGCAGAAGAAGCCGAAGAAGCCTAAGATTTCCGTTGCGGAGGCCGCTGCGAAGATCGATGTGAACGATCTGTTGGCGTTTTTGACCGATGTGTCGGTATGGCGAAATGATCTGCTCGATGATGCATTCTTGGTTTTATCTGATCTATTTTGATCTGCTTGGTTGGAAAAGAATTTGCTGTCGGTTGGTTGTATTGACTCTTCTTCTTCTTCTTCTTCTTCTTCTTCCATCTGTATGTTTGGTTATAGGGCTCGTACGACACTCAGCAGGATATTCAGCTGATGAGGTTTGCGGATTACTTTGGTCGCGCATTCTCGGGCGTGAGCGCTTCTCAATTTCCGTGGGTGAAAATGTTGAGGGAGTCTTCGGTAGCTAAGATTGTTGATGTGAGTTTAGCAATCTTTGCTATGTAATATTTCTCTGCAATTCGCCGTGAAGTGGATGAATTCTCTTAGTTCTGTGCTGCGTATTTCTGATTGGTTGTACTTAACCCTCTAGGTCTCTTGTTCTGAAGGAGAATAATCTTCGGGCAAAATGTTTTTTTTTTAATTATTATTTTTATAATTTTGTAGATGCATATTTGGTGTTATCATCGATTTTTCCGCTCTGATTCTGTAATAATTGTTCATGGGTTTCATTGGATCGGAGGGACTGAATTTTGGGATGAAAAAGCACCTTACTTTTTCTGTGTTGTCTTTGGTTATGGGTGACATGAGTATATTCTTCTAAATTAGCTATTGGATATGTTTGATTTGCTCGAGCAGTAAAACGAGTTTTATAAGTTGTTTGTGCAGCTTTAGTTAAATCGAAATACAAGCCAGTTTTGCCTAGTTATGAGCTTTCTTTCTTCATTTTTCCCAATTGCTCGACCTCAAGTACCTACATTCTCTTTTCTTGTGTTTTGACATAAAATGGATGGAACTTGTAAAAAATGACACCTTGTGACCTAATTGTTTCATCTACTCTTTTGCAGATCCCCCTCTCTCACATTTCGGAGGATGTTTATAAGGCATCAGTTGACTGGCTCAATAAACGTTCTCTTGAGGCCCTCAACTCTTTCGTTTTATGGTCTTTAGACAGCATTCTTGCTGACTTTGTGGGCCAACAAGCTAGTGCCAAAGGCTCTAAAAAGGGTGTACAACATGCATCATCTAAATCTCAGGTATCATCAGTAGCACCACTGTTTTGTTCGTTCAAAGTTTATGTACATTGGGAGGGATAACGGTGCATTGTTTTGTTCATATTTGGGTTGACACAACCCACATGTAACACTGATAATGTGAGTTCTTCTGTTTAATATGACTCCCATCTCTAGTGCTTTTTTGTTAAGGTTTTGAGCGTTAACAACCTTTTAGGGTTCCATAGCTAAAATTAGGTGTTGGATCTAATAAATGTAGAAAAAGTCCAAAATTTCAAGGACAAATAAGTTTTTTTATTTTTTTTTATTTTTAATTCCTTTTGGAGCTTGTGAAGCAAAATGAACTCGTTCTAACTAATTCTTTAATTTTCTAGCAATTGAAGAACTCGAACTTAAACTCATACGATCCCTTCATAGAATAAAACTTCAAATATAGCTGATTCTATTCGATACAGGCTGACTTTAGAATCTAGTGATTTATAGTTGTCTAGTTAAGATGAGCTATCAAGGTTGATGAAATATGAAATTTTTGTGCTGTTTTTCGAAGCACTGCAAAATAGAAATCAAGAAAAGAGAGAGATCCAAAGTAGGTAGAAGATGAGGTTAAAAAATAATATTATAAAGTAACGTTGAAGAACTCAATTTTCATTAACTAATGCTTAACCTTAACTAGTAATAACAATAATAATAATAAACTCAACTAGGAGAAGGATAAGTTTACCATAAGCAAGCAATCTATTTACTATTTGATTGGATGAAGGTGATGGATCATGATGCATATCTCTTTTATCCATCTCTTATTTCTTGATATTTGTTTATAGTCTATGTTCTCCGTTTACTCTTCTGAAATACATGTTTAACCTTCAAAAATTTGTAAATCAATGACTCTCTAGTTATTAATAACAATCAGCTGTACAGATGCCTATGGGTTTGTATTTATTTTTTACTATTACTTTTGTCTTTCTCTTTTTGCGGGTATGGGTGGAATGAGAGGGTGCGTTCACACATTTTCTGCATGATTCAAAAGTTAACATGTTATTACATTGCAGGTTGCCATATTTGTAGTTCTTGCAATGGTATTGCGAAGAAAACCTGATGTCTTGATTCAAGTATTGCCAACCATAAGGGAAAACTCAAAGTATCAAGGACAGGATAAGCTTCCAGTACTTGTCTGGATGATAGTTCAGGTGAATTAATAATAATATGCAATTCATAATTTATTGATTCTTAGATTTTTATTCTTATGCTTCTTATACCGGATTTCCTTTTTCCTTTGCCAGGCTTGTCAAGCAGATCTTGCGATAGGGCTTTATGCTTGGGCACATAACCTCTTGCCCATAGTTAGTGCTAGAAGTTGTAATCCTCAGTCTAGAGATCTAATTCTGCAGTTAGTGGAAAGGTGGGAATACTGGATTATCTCCCAATTCATCTATCTTCCCTTTTGCTATAATAGCTCATCCTCCACGCTCCCTCCCGTACCAGTTTTTCTTTCCTAACCGTGGAAGATTATTTTGCTGCAGAATTTTGTCCTCTCCAAAAGCCCGTACTATTCTGGTAAATGGTGCTGTCAGGAAGGGGGAGCGATTGATTCCACCTTCTTCATTTGAAACACTTCTACGGGTTACTTTCCCTGCATCGTCAGCTAGAGTGAAGGTCAGTATACTTCAGGAAACTGTTGCTATTATCTAAGATATATGCTGAAAACACTATGTATGTGTTTTTATTGACATTGAACCATTTGCAGGCTACTGAAAGGTTCGAGGCTATCTATCCAACCTTGAAGGAGGTTGCGCTTGCTGGCGCTCCTGGCAGTAAAGCAATGAAACAAGTTTCACAGCAGATATTTATTTTTGCTGCCAAAGCAGCTGGAGAAAGTATGTTTTTCATTTTTCTTACCTTTTTTCATATGAAGGGAACTTGTTTGTTGTTCATGAACAGTAACTGAGAGAAGATCTATTAACAGGTGTTTCAGAGCTATCTAGTGAAGCTACTAATATTTTCATTTGGTGTTTGACCCAAAATGCTGATTGCTACAAGCAATGGGTGAGCTCCTCGAGTTATTTTTCTATACGTATAATCAATTTTAATTCCATTCTCGATCTGATTGGAGTCCGTCCTGAATATGCAATTGTTTTTTTGCAGGACAAGATTTATGAGGATAATCTAGAAGCTAGTGTCTCCGTTTTGAAAAAACTTTCTGATGACTGGAAAGCGCATTCTTTAAAATTATC